AGATGGAATAAGGTCTTTTTTTGAAGGTTTCAATATCGTCTCGGTTCGGAAATACCATTGCACTGTGAAGGACCGCTGTTCATTCAAATGAACGTTATGATATAGTCTATTCTAGTTTCTGGCGGGTAGTGCGATTTTGAAATTCAGCAGCTATTGACCTATTGTTATAGTTATTAACCCTGTATAACATAAAATAAATATATCATATAACGTAAAACCCCTTTCAAAAATCGAAATCGGTTTAACAGTTATAGATATTAACGAGAATAAAGTGACAGACAAACATGTTTTTTCAAACTATATTATAAAATACATTACTTAGTACAATTTTAGAGCTTGTTCTTAAAAACCGCTACTTATATTATACATGCCATTATTACAGCTCATTAGAATATAAAAATATTAGTACAGGTAGTAGAAATGCCTGCAATTCTTGTTTGAACTCCTTTATATGTAATTTTTTTTATATCCGAAAGCAACATATAAATATTTTGAAACAATATTATATTTATAGTAGGCACTTGAATAATCTTTATTCAAATAAACTTAATATAATTTTGAATCGTAATTAAAGAATTTATAAATAAAAAATGTTTTTGTAGAAAATATCTAACTTAAAATTCATAGCGCTGACAATGTTATCTGATTGAACAGAGATTAAGTGCGTAGCGGTTTCTATGTTGATTGTCGCATGCCTAATCCTTGTTGTTAATTAAATATAAGTAAATCAATATTTATTTAAAAGAGCTTGTGTGTTACAAGTTTCTTGCTTATTCTTCTTGTGTTGAATCTGCATTCCGAATAAGCGGTAGAATAAAAAAAAACTTGACTATTCAAAAGTGCTTATATTAAGTTTATTTGACTAAAGATTATTTGTATTTCTATTTCTCTTTCTAATATTTTTTTATACTACTACTCATTCGGATCGCAGTCGCATCACAAGAAGAATCAGCAAGGAGCTTGGGTGTGCTCTTTAAATAAATGCTATTCTAAGTAAATACGTAAATACATATTAATAAGTATTCACATTATTTAGTCTTCCCTCTACGTAGTATTTTCTCTGAAAACTCTTTCATAACACGTCTATGATTTTATATATTTTTCCATCACATAACTCTATTTGCGACATTGTACAGAATTATGTAACTTGGTGGAATTTGAATGATCCACTCCGCTGACCATTTCGTTGTAAACAAACCAGCCCATTATATTATATACTAGCTGTGCGCGAGACTTCGTTCGCGTGGAATAGTAACCTCGGATAGGGTTTCTAAATATTTAGGCTAATTATTTTAATATTTAAGCTAGAACGTTGCAATTTTCTAGCTTCGAAAATGACGAATTCATTACGTCAAAACTACTGAACCGATTTACATGAAACAGGTATACCCAGAGGACATAGGCACAATTTATTGTAAAAAAAGGAATCTAACGGGTTGAAACGGGAGAAGAGAGAAAGATTGTTGGAAACGACGTTTTTAAATCTAGAAACTTGTAACTTATTTTTTAGGCTGTTGATTAATAATCTATACATATAAATCAAATTGGAGTGTCTTATTGTAATATTGAAAAAAAACCGTTTTTACTACATGCATATGAATATATATATATGGTACATACACTAAAATAACATTTTTTACAATTTTTGTCTGTCTGTATGTCTTTCTGTTTGTTCCGGCTAATCTCTGAAATGGCTGGACCGGCTGACGGTACTTTTATTGGCAGGTAGCTGATGTAATAAAGAGTAACTTACCTTTATTATAGATAAAATCTTTTATTTTAGAAAAATAAAGTAAAATTCCACGCGAACGAAGTTTCGGGTGCAGCTATAAATAAATATGACGTTCCGTTTGTAAAAAAATTTTAAAAAAATACTCTTGTAAGGATAAAATAAAATGGAAGCGGATGAAAATTTGTATAGAAATTCGTCATTAATGAAGCTAGAACGTTGCAACTTTATTCTTTGGTATTCTTGAGTAAGAGTATTAAACATTTTCTTCTTTATTTGGGTTATTGTTTTGTTTATTTCATGCATCAAAAGTAGATTTCTTTCGAATTTAGTTAGGTGCCATATTTCATGCAAATAAATACATTTCATTTCATAAATACATTTCATTTCATTTCATTTCAAGAAGCTATTTGCAGTTCGCTTCAAATACCTACCTTATTAAAGTAAGTATTTATACGTATGTGTCTTATTTTTAAAATAATTAAATTAAAACATTAAAAATGGTATCTACGGTCCCTATTCTTGATGACGACCTCGGTGGTCTAGCGGTCTAGTACACCGCTTTACGACCGATGGTCGCGGGTTCGATTCCTCGCACGGCACACACAATTGTATTCATGAGTATGATTGTCGGTCTGGGTGTTTTCTATGTATAATATGTATGTATTTACAAAAAAAAATATCTATGTATATGTATCAGTTGTCTAGTACCCATAACACAAGCTTTAGCTAGCTTAACTTGGGTCTAGATGGCGCTGTGTGAATTGTCCTGAGATTATTATTATTATTATTCTTGTCGAATGAAGTCGCTAGTATTTTTTTTAATTGGTTGTTAATGGAGTAGTGCCCCCGCTGCGTTAACAGTTTACGCTGGCGTGACACCAGTGGAGGATGAGAAGATGAGGTCTGGTCAGTTAGCCCAACATGACAAATTCACAGGCATTTACCAGGATGGGGGGGAATCACGTGGATATCAATTGACATGGTACACCCCGGGGGGGGGGGGTTGTGGATTGATGACCCCATTGCTAGCAATGTACTACGTCAGGTTGACCTCCACGTGGTTCCCCCCGGAAACCATCGTAATAAATGCCTGGTGAATTTGTTACGATGTGCTAACTGACCTGACCTCATGCTCATCTTATCATCCGGTGCCCCGCCAGCATGCTCATTATCATTAAAAAAAAAAATCATCCTTTTATAATCTTATATATAAAATTCTCGTATCACAATGTTAGGTACCATACTCCTCCGAAACGGCTTGACCGGTTTTTATGAAATTTTATATGCATATTCAATAGTTCTGAGAATCGGCTACTATCTATTTTTCATACCTAACATTATTTTTTATTTTTTAGGCAAAACTTTTTATTTCAAATTTTTTATGTGTCATTAAAAAATACATACAACCCTAAATTTTCACCCCTCTATCACAACCCCTATTTTTTTATAGCGTTATTAATTTATATGTCAAAACAACGTTTGCCGCGTCAGCTAGTATTAGTATAAATACTATAATGCCCATCGTTGCCCGTCATTTGTTAGGATTCCATTCTGGAATTCCTAATATCTTCCTAATATCATTGTCACTTGAAAAATGTTATACCTCTTCATTTACGACAAAATGACTCATCACTCAAATCCTATCATTGACTAGTGATTGACGCATACTTATTAGTTCTTAAGTTTAATGAATAATAAACTAACAATATTTTTAAAGTGTGAGAAAATATCTTGAAGTGGCTAAAGTTAACAAAAGCGTTTTTAACCGTTTAAATATAAACTAGATATGGTGGTTTAAATAAAATAACTTTGTTGTATGCATAACTGAAATAGTAACATTGTACTTACATACCAGGAGCTCATACTATACAAGGAATGCTTGTAATGATATCAATTATTATTGTTACATGAAATCACGTAATATTATAATAAATACAGATATGTACAAATTAACAAATTATAGAATTAATCAATATGATTTAGTTGTCTGTTTGACAAAAATGGTGAGCTTCCATTAAGTCATGAAAGCAAACCATTTTAAAATTGTAAACATGAAACATCATCATCACCTGCTTCTTCCTTATCCCATTTATTTGTGGTCGTCGTAATATGTTTTTCTCTTCCATTCATCTCTGTTCGCAGTCATCCCGTTATTTACTCCCTTTCTCACCATATCATCTTTCACACAGTCCATCCATCTCTTTTTCGGCCTTCCTCTACCCTTATAACCATCCACATTCATATGTAACACCGTCCTTAGGATATGATCTTCATTCCTACGCATTACATGTCCATACCACGATAGATATGAAACATAATTATGATAAAATAGTTTGACAACTCACCGCTAGAGGCGTTAGTACCGTTGCATTAAGAAGTTATTTATTTACTTGACATATTCTCTATGCCGATTTCAAACTTATTAAGGATTACGAGGAATCGAATCCGGGAACAATATTAGTAAGACTACGGCCTAAGGGTTGAGGCTTTCATATATTTATTTTCTATTATTGAAAATATCTAGTAGGTAGTTTTATTTAAGAAACCATAACGATAAAACTGGTATCTCACAATAAGATAAATCATTGTATTTATACAAAACAGTAAACTATTAAGGAGTTTATTTTTCTAATAAGAGAGTAATTTAAAAATTTGTGTTTAATTTGAATCTAAATTATAAAATTAATTGTTGTACTAAATACAGCGCCATCTAGTTTACCTTGGTGAAATTATTACTATCGCCATCTAGCGTTGAATAGTGAGAATGCTAAACACATTCATAAAATATGTTTTAAACAATTTTGTAATTAGAACAAACTTTTGTTAAATCGAAGTATTAATAATATTGTTTGTTATTATTATAATAATTATTATTTATTTAATTTTCGATTGTTAGAATTACTTTTAGCTAATTAGTTGTTCTGTACTACATATTGTAGTTCATTTTGTGTTACAGAGATGGCAGTAATATATGTATAATATTCGATATCTTGTAATAGACGTTACTAGAAATTTATCTACAAGTTTTTGCAGACCTAGTTTGAATGTTATCCCAAAGTTATTTTCAATCCAATGCACTTTTATAAAGTTCTTATGAAACACAATCAAGAATAAATAATTTTATTTATTTTTGTATTCAAAAGTATTTAGTAAGCAGTTTCTAAAAAAAATCTCCAGATAGCGCACTTATATTAAAACAAAAATCTATTGATAAAATAAAACAATTTTGATCTCAATACTAATTTATATACTACATAATATATGATATTTAAACGTTACTGACATAAACAAAAAATGCCTCCACACTCTTGCTGATCTCCTCGTCACTGTGACCGCGTTTTGTACTAGGAGCATCGTTTAACATCACCTCCTGCATAGCCAGCATCCGCAACATTTTGTCAGATTCATTATTGTCATCTACCTCGAAAATTCTTTCGTATAACAGATTAGTTAAATTAATTTCATCTATAGTCTTGTCGTCTAAGATACTAGCGTTGATTTCAGGGGCAGGTAAAGTCCTGTAATAGGAACATATAAAATGTATAACTCTTTATGCTTAAAGTAATGTCTTACAGACAACCAGAAGTGGAAAAATGCAGCAGAAAATATCTATTGAAACACAGCTTATATTTTTTTTATAACTATTCTGATGCTGTTGGCCGCAGCTGGTCTTTATAGCTTCATCGAACTGTAGTGGGCGAGTACAGATGGTACTCCAAACCCGCAGATCTACTTATGGAGCGGTTGAAGACTAACTCATGTCTGATGGATAAAACTTTAGTCTGAGGGTACAGCTAGGATTTTGAAACTCAGCTCAGACCGTCGTAATTTCGATCCCCGTTTGAATTTGACGGGGGATCTATAGAAAACAATACAAAACCATTTGCTTGTTGTGTATTCATGAACTCCTGTTACAAGTAAGCAATGGATTAACCTGCGTGTATCAAATCCAGCTTCTTTAAGCTTCTTCTTGGCTAGTTCTATGAAGGATTGTGACTTTAGCGTCTCCCTGAGCCAACCCTTTATTTTATTCTTTTTATCCTCTACCCGTGCTTTAAATCTGAAATAGAATGGATACAAATATATCCATTTACAAACTATCTTACACTAGCTGTTCCCGCGACTTCTTCCGCGTGGAATTTAACTTTATTTTTCTAAAATAAAAGTAACCGAAGTTACTCCTTATTACATCGGCTACCTGCCAATAAAAGTCTCGTCAAAATCGGTCTAGTCATTTCAGAGATTAGCCAGAACAAACACACAGACAGACAAAAATTGAAGAAAATGTTATATTAGTGTATGTAGGTACCATATTTGTATTTTAACGGTTTTTTCAATGTTACAAACAGACACTCCAACAAAAAATATTTATATGTATAGATGATATACACAATACATAAATTAATACAAATCTAATTTTATAATAAATCTATACAAATATATAAAATTAAAGTGTCTGTTTGTAATATTAACCACTTGTCACTAAATGCACAAAAATATGAAGAATAATGTTATTTTTTTTTGTTTGTTCTTGTTCTGACCTGGCTATGGCGAGGGACTTACACTTGCAGTAAAAATAATGTTATAAGGAGTTACTAAGGCTAATTTTATTTTAGAAAAAGTAAAATTCCACGTGGACGAAGTCGTGGAAATAGAAATAGAAATAATCTTTATTCAAATAAACCATTACAAGCACTTTTGAATAGTCATTTTTATACCACTCATCATCACAAGAAGAATGAGCAAGAAACTTGTGTGTTGCTCTTTTTAATAGATGTACAGTATAACAAGTAAGAGGCATGCGATAATCAACATAGAAATCGCTACGCACTCAGTATTAGTGTAATCAGATAAAATTGTCAGTGCTATGGATTTAAAGTTTTTCTATAAAAACATTATTATCGTTAACGAATTCTTCAATTTTATAGTAAGCTTTTTTGCAAAGGAAGTGTTTTATTTGACATTTAAATCTTTTTTCTGGCAGATTTATAACAGACTCTGGTATTTTATTGTAAAACCTTACGCAATTGCCATAAAACGAATTACTAACTTTAGCCAAACTACTTACTTTAGTTAAGCTAATAATAATCTTTACATAGTATAAAAATAAGTTTGTTCGCTTAGATCTTTTAAACTACGCAACGGATTTTAATGCAGTTTTCAGCTATAGACAGTGTGATTCAAGAGAAAGGTTTATATGTATAATATACATGTATATACCGTCGTGAATTCTACAAATAAACTTACTTCTGTAGCTCCTTCTCTCTTTGCCGTGCCTTCTTGATCTTCGGCACCAGTTCAGGTTCTTTATAGGCCTCGTTGGAGGTTATAGTTCTTTCAACCCAGTCTGTAATTTGCGAGACCCGACTGTAGACGCCGGGGGACCTCGGGTCCCCGCACTTTTTGCCACCAAACGAGACTATACCCAATAGTACCCCGTCGCGGACTGCCGGCCCCCCGGAGTCATGCTATATTTAAAAAAAAGGTTATAAAACATAAAGGCTGTAAGAAATTATGTTAGCGATAAGACCACCTTTTGTAGTCAGTTTAACTAGCTGTACCCGCGACTTTCTCCACGTGGAATTGACGACGAATGACGAATTTTTACACAAACTTTCATCCCCTATTTGGTTTTACATTTAATTTGTTAAAATTTTACCCTACAGACTGAAAAATAAGTTTCAAGCTTCAACTTTCAAACCCTTACGGTACGGCATTTGGTTCACATTAAAAAGTAGCCTGCGTCCTTTTTTAGTTTATATCAGTATTTAAAGTCTAGTACCCATAATGCAAGCTCTGCTTAGCTTGGGACTAGAGGGCGACGTGTGAATTGTGCAGAGTTATTTGTAAAATATTTCTTTAAATTCATTTTTGTTTATTTATAAATTTGTAGGAGACTGAACCCTAAAGTAGAGAGGAAATCTGTATCTTAGAAGTCATTATATTAACTATTAAAGCAAATACTTTGTACACCTTTTTTGAAGATAGACGACGCGCAGACGTAACAGTAGAAATTTAGCACACTTATTGTTTATATAAGAAGTGCAGAGTACTAATATTTTTTATAAAAGTATGCATAAAAATCAATGAAAAACATTACTCTTTTATCATTGCCTGCGCAACTGCCAGTGCAGATGATTATAGAAGTAGGGTATATAGTCTTTGACAATAGAATCTTAATAATGTGCAAATATTAATTTAAATTAATTATGTCCCGGATTTCGACCACTGAGTGACTACTAGTTATTCATTATCACAGTTAAAACAATATTTCATTATTATACTATTATATTGTAGATTTAAAACTAAAGTATTTATTTTGTTCTTCATTCATTCATAATTTAAGAGCTACGCTCTTGTCGGTGGAGCTCTTGCCACTTTCCGCGATCTTCCATCATGCTCTTTAATTCTTGATACGACACGACTCCCATTTTGTCCTCAGTTTGTTTGATGTAGCTATTCCTTGGTCTTCCCCTCCCCCTCTTTCCTTTTATTTTCCCCTCAATAATAATTTTCATGAAATCATCGTGCCTCAAGTGTCGTGTATCAAGTGTCCTAACATTTTTCCTCGTCTATTTTGTTCTAGGAAGAATAAATCCATACATTACAAGCATCCTTTCCACCAGTTGCGTATCCGGCGCACAGCATCCTGGGGGTGATGTAGAATCTGTAGGACTTCTGGCAGTCGGTCAGCCCCATCACCGGCACGGGCACGAACCGCATCCTATCTGGGATGTGGCCATATCCTGACTCCTAGGAATATAAATAGAAATATAATAATAATAATGTTATTTATTTCTCCTCACAAACATTGTACAACAATACATTGGCAACAAATACATGTATTTTTGATGGTACATTGCATTTTACTATTACAATCAATTATTGTGAGAAGCTGGTGTCTGAAATAGGTACAACCGCAGGCACATGTGATATGTACTTTAAATAAATTACAATGCCTGAACTAGGTTCTCCTAATAAACTATAATCATAATGTTTAGAGTTAGACAAAAAATAATAAGTTTGTAAATATATTATAGGGGAAGGATAATGGCAGAATACGGGTGAGAGTGGTGAGCATATCTGTGGGTTTGTGTAAATGTGTATGTGTGTGAGAAATAGAAATAGCTGTGCTGTCAGCTTGTTTATCATTACAAGTATGTAAAATAAACAAATACCAACTTACATCAATACTTCCCCAGCCTGTGACGATCAGTATATCGCCTTCCTTCATCACGTAACCCTTGGAGGGTAGATTGAGAACAGCTATGTTCCGACCGACGGGCATCGGCCGGTCCAATCTCAATAAACAATAGTCGAAGTCTGCGCTACCCGGAGAATAGTTTTCTGGAAAGAAAACCTACAGGAAAGAATTTAAATGAAGTAATATAACCAGAAATTGTATTTCCGAACAGATACGATATAGAAAACTTCAAAGAGCTTATTCCTTCTTAAAAGGCCGGCAACGCACTTGTAATTCCCCTGGCGTACGTAGCACCCGCAGCTCATGGGCGGCGGTAATTACTTACCATCAGGTAGGTTGCAGGCTCGTTTGGACCCTATGCTATAAAAAATATACTAGCTGCTATATCTAGCGGTAACATACCGTTTTACTGCCGATGGTCGCGGTTTTGATTCCTCGCACGGTGCAAACATTTGTATTCATGATTATGATTGTATGTATTGTTTTGGGTGTTTTCTATGTATATTATGTACGTATTTACAAACACATGTTTATCTAAGTATATCTATCAGTTGTCTAGTACCCATAACATAAACTCTGCTTAACTTGCGACAAAGATATAGTCAAAAATCTTCTAAATATCTCGGTATGTTATTTTTTACCTTATTTACACGTGCTTGATATCCCCCGCGGTTGTGGAACGAACTCCCAGCTCTTACTACGTACGGTTGCAGTTTCTTTTTGTTCCCGTCAAATGCTCTGAAAAAAGTTGTAATTTCTATTTGTTTAATATATTTTTTCAGTAATTTCGGTAGGTTTCCTAAATTCTATTACTGAAAGACGTTTGCACTCTTTAACTCGTAGGTATATCATATCAAATACGCTACGAGTAGATTTTCCTTCTAACGTAAATTATTGGAATATTATCTGGACTTAATTGACCTTTCTTCTGTGCCACGTCTTTCTATTTTTTTTTTTCTACCATAATTTGTGGCTGTACCCGATTTTTCATTGTCAGATTATGAGATATGTATTTATGTACAGTATATATATATATATATGTTGCTATTTATCTTATATATAAAATTCTCGTGTCACAGTTTTCGTTCCCATACTCCTCCGAAACGGCTTGACCGATTCTCATGAAATTTTGTGAGCGTATTAAACACGAAAGTTTAAAATTAACGTATTGAGTAGGTCTGAGAATCGGCCAACATCTATTTTTCATCCCCCTAAATGTTAGGGGTAGTCCACCCCTAATTTTTTTTTTATTTTAAGGCAAAACACCGTTTGCCGGGATAGCTTTTCGGACAATGCCCAGGGACATACTGGAACATCTTTTCAAATAATGTATTACTTTTAGAACAAAATTCATTACCAAAAAAAAGGTTATAGTGACCTTAAGTTAGGTTAGGTTAACCATAAAAGTTAGACACATATTGTCCCGGACTATTTTTTAGAAATTTAGAGGAGAACAATTCCGTCATACATATTTTTTGCGTAACTTTAACCGTAAATAGTACTTATGAGAGATCTTATTTACTCACGATTCAAAACAGTGACCGGCAGTCAGCACCCACTGTTCATCGATGATGGAACCCCCGCACCAGTGCTTCCCATTCCTGGATATGGCCACGTTGTAGGGGTACATGCTGATACTGGTCTCCATACCGCCAACTATCCTCCGTGCAGCGTAGGAACGGAATGCCCAAGCAATATGGCGATCATTAGAACCTTCTTTGAATACTGAAATAAATTAAAAAAAATGGCTATATGGTTAATTTTCGAGGTTGAATTGAAAGTGAGAAGTATAGCAGAGATCTCTACAATCTTCTAAAAGATCATGGCCCGACTAGAACTGCAGTAAGTTTTATACTAGAACGTGTATCTAAAGCAGGCAAACCGCGGTACCAGATTTCAGATTTGTCTGGGCAGGGAGAGAAACGCGGAGCGGTGATGGTGAGTACGTACGTACGAGTAGGTACGTACGTCAAGGGGCCCCTTAAACCTACACGTCTGCTACATCAAGGAATGTTAAGAAGTTGTTATTGAATGAGTAAGCTTAAATATCAATGCTGATAGCAATACCGTCTTTACTATAAGGGCACACGAGACCCGTGCCCCTCTCAGGGGGCCCCCGAAAGACTGTTAATTTTTCTCAAACATTTATTCTCAAAAGATTTTTGTCGGGCACACTACTACACTTTTTTCACAAATCAGTAATGTTATCAGAAGGTATTTACAAGGCATATACTACGCCATTATACCGATTACTTCGCCTATTCCTATGTTTAAGAACATAGGAATAGGCGTACCTAAAAAAGCTCATTAGGTATAAGTACCTAATGAGCTTTTTTTTTACTTTCCAAAAGGGCCCTGAATTCTTGTGTGCCCAAGGGCCTCAGCCTAGTTTAAGACGGCGGTGCTGATAAGGCTCGTTTTTCTTCTCGTAAAATTGATATACAATCTTTAAGAACTTAGCCTTTAAAAATGATTAACGTATTATTATTTTCTTACAATATTTTAACAAATCATTTACAATAAAATTATTAACTATATACTCGTACATAATATTTAGTGAAGCATAAATTTGTTTAGCACCTGGATATTCCCCATCATCGTGAGATATCTTAAATCTAGTGGAAGTTTCATCATTCTGAAATCTATATTTCTCTTCTAATATTGTTTTTATATCTTCTTTACTATCATATCCGTGATCTTGCTCTGGCACTGGCTCGCCAAATAGCATATGATTGTCATGATCTTCACTAAATATATTTGATTCGTAATTTCTTGGCTCTAAATGACTTTTATCTACAATGTGATCTTCTTTGCTAGCTTGTAATACATCAAAATTGAATACCATATCGATATAAGCTATTTTAAATGCTATGCTAACAACAATAGAGTCACATTTGTAAATCATCTTTGTTTCATCTCGACATGTGCATTTTCTTTTTGTTATGTTCGCAATGCGTTGCTTTGTCTGCAGTTTAATGTGTTTTTCAATGGTTACGATAAAGTATTTTATGCTTGGTTTTATTGTCGTCTTATATCGTAAAGACGGATGGGAATTTGCGGAAAATTTTATGTACTTTCCATTTTAGTTGGTCTCAGTCGAATCTTACATTGTGCTCGGGCGATACGGTTTATTTACGGATAGCTGTATTCTCTTTGCCCGAGTGTCATTAAATTCGGCTTAAAAGTAGGCCATATTTTATTTCAGTATATGTATACAGAAATAATATATGCCCTACCTTAAGTAATAATAATATTCCTAGACAATTCACACAGCGCCATCTAGTTAGCCCAAGCTAAGCAGACCTTGTGTTATGGATATTATTATACATAGAAAACACCGAGACCGATATGATACCCATGAAAACAACGCTGTGTGAATTATACTGAGATATTATATTTCACTAGCTGACTCGCGCAATATATTTGCAATATCTTTCATTGCAGTTCCGCTCATATTGGCCGTAGTGTAATGTTATATAGTTTAATGCCTTCCTCGACAAATGGACTATCCAACACAAAATATTTTTTTCAATTCGAACCAGTAGTTCCTGAGATTAGCGCATTCAAACAAACAAATAAACAAACTCTTCAACTTTATAATATTAGTATAGATATACTATAAAGCAAAGTCGACGATGCTGTTGATATCTTTTAAATTACGCAACTGATCTTAATGCAGTTTTCAGCAATAGATAGAGTGATTTCAGAATTTCAAGAGGGAGGTTTATATGTATAATACATGTGTGTAATACAATAGAACTAGCCGAGAAATTCAAAGATTTGCAATTCATCCGCGCGAAGCCGGGACGGATCACTAGTATTCCTGATGACTAGGTGCATTTAAAGAAAACTTTTATAAAATGGTTACCACATAAAAGTAGGCACATATTATTTAAATATATGAATAAAAAAAATAGGCCTAAAGGATGTCGCTCCAAAAAAAATCGGCAGATATAACTATAAAATTTAAAAAAATACAGTAGGCATATGTACTATACCTTTCTGGCCATCCCACATGTAAAACAGTCGTAAAGTAAGTTTGTACTTAATAAAATTAAAGCGTCACTTTTGGCATCCATTAAACTCGTAACAAAGGCTCGTTACAGAAGGGCTGTCGCTAATGAAAATTAGCTCCATACGTCCTTTAGGCTTAAGTTACTAATTGATTGCTAACATACAGTTCGCCTCCATGACTTTATGAGTTCCCAGTATCTCTATCATATCTAGACACGTGGTAGCGTGTCAAGCCGAGTTTCAAGTAAGAGACCTGGCCTGCAGCACCGTGTGTATATTTACACGAACCATTTGGAGCCACTTTTGACCCCCGCATAACTCAAAAACTCTTTCACATAAACCTGTCAAATTTGGTTCATATATTGAGACTTACTAGATAAATATGTGTTCCAAATTTCATAAACATATCTCAAACGGTTATTTAGATATTAATGTCCAAAAATCGTCATTTTTATCACTGATCAACTATAGATCAAAATTATAACCCACTTCCAGATGACCTAGGAAGTTCAAATTTGGCATGCAGATAGGTAATTAGGTGAATATAAAGGAAAAAATCTGAAACTGGTAAATTGTTATCATTTTACTACAATTTTTCACTTTAATTGATTATATTTCAACTTATACTGGACGATTACTAAAATTCTATGAAAACGTCGATAGCCACCAATTGACATTGATCCCTGGCGAAAAATTTCATCTTGTACTGGACGGAAAGTAATATTGTATGAAAACGTCGATCATTACCAATTTACGTTGACCCCTTCACATCAGTGTCGATAACTAGCAAACTTCAAATATTGCATTGAGCGGTAAACACTAGTTGCTATAATTTAGATTCTGTCTAAAATATACTCGTACTTATAACTAGGAGTATAGTCGAATTTCGTATTTATTATGTTATTAACTGAGATTTGGTATTAATTATTATTTCAATATTTAGCGCACATCGATAGTGTAAAATCATTATTTTTATAAATAATTATTAAATAATAGACATTTCGGTATAGGGCGCCGCGGCGGCGCCGTGTGGGAGCGGTGCGATAAAACGTTGACGCGAACCTGTCCGAGCGAATGGCAGCCGCCCTCATATGTCTCAATGTTTTGTTTCTCGATATCTAACCTATAAGGTTGCGATTTATGCTACGAAATTTATAGCTTTCTTAAATTATACTTATATATTTGTGGTTATATTATTATTACATTATTTTAGTAAATACGTATGGTATAGACAATAGTTTAAACCAAAAATTAATAACAATTTTAGTATAGTTATAAGTAGGAATGTATAGTTAACTCGAGAATGAGAACTCATTGGTAACAAATTGTTTTCTTGAGAATTCAATAGATAACAGTCAATTTGTTACATAATCGTCTTTACGAACTATAACGTGTCAATACGAAGTTTCAGATATTAAATAATGTATATTTTTAAAATCACTAGTATCCTGACGACTTAGGCGTAATGCCGGTTAGTCAGGGAAAGAAACACCTCAATGCCTACAATATTCACAATTATCTATCTCTTATTTGTTTTTATAATAATATCAACACTTTCGCTCCAAAACTCCCGCTGCCTACGTTCAATCGTCCGTCATCCACTTGTCAATGTCACATAGATTACTTTGGCTCTGGCCTCTGACGTTCCGTTTCAGGTTACATGATTATTGACTTTACCATTTTTAATTAATGGTGCGTCACACGATAGTTAACAGTCGGCCATCCTGCAATAGTGTCTGGCCCAGACACATAGGTAACTGATGAGCGTAGTCATGCTTATCAAAGGATATAGTGTCTACAGGATCATATAACAAATACTTAACTAAATAAACTAAAGATACACATTACTTTCATAACATTGACTATCTTAGTATACTGTCAAAGGTTTACAATCTAAAATCAATACTAACAGAGCTAAGTTTCGGCATGCATTCAGAATGCACAAAATATAACATAACATATATTAATTTACATAATCCAAATCACCCAAAAACATGAACAACCTTTTAGAGTAACAAACAATTATTTGGCGGTGATTGACTTCTATGAGTCAGACTGTAACATATCACCATCACAATGTAAGTTTCCGATCTTATGAACATTGCATTTTTTTTTATACCTCCAAAATAGAACTTGACATTTCTCATCATGAATATTTTAACGGATAAATTTAACATATCACATTACAAAAGGTAAAACTTAATTACCTACATATATAGAGAAAAAAATATAAAGAGAAAGTATTATTCTCGTGACATAAAATTAGAACAAAATCGCTGCCTGCCTTCACCTAACCAATAGAAAATAACAGGTCAATATTATTCAAGTGGTTCTAATACCCTGAATACTACTACTACTATTTTACTTCGACGATACTCTTGATTTACCAGAGAATTATTTTAATATAACATAATTCATTGAATTTCAGTTATGATTTACTTAACAATACCATCAGCTCGCTGGTCAAGTAATCTATTGCACCCTTTGAACCCTGTACATTTAGGGAACTATAAATGATTGTAGATACTGATATCAATTTTCTTTACAACACCAGTTTAACATAAACAAAAACCCACTGTTCCAGATTAATGTGAAATAGAAATAATCTTTATTCAAACAAACTTAACATAAGCACTTTTGAGCAGTCAAGATTTTTGAATCTATCGCTTATTCGGAACGCAGATTTATCACAAGAAGAATAAACAAGAAACCTGTGTGTTGCTCTTTTAAATAAATATTGATTTACTTATATTTAATTAACAACAAGGATTAGGCGTGCGGCAATCAACATAAAAACCGCTACGCACTTAATCTCCGTTCAATCAGACAACATTGACAGCGCTATGAATTTCAAGTTAGATATTTTCTAAAAAAAAAACACTGATTTATAAATGATGACATTTATAAATTTTTCAATTTTATAATAAGCTTTTTTTTTTTTTACAAAGAAAATATTTTATGACACTTTTGATTTCTTTTTCTAGCAAATTGAGTACAGACTCTGGGAGTTTGTTGTAAAACCTTGCGCAATTTCCATAAAACGAATTACTAACTTTCGTCAAACGAACGTGAGTTTAGTAAGCCTACTATTCACTTTATATTTTATCGATGGTATTCGTAGCCACTTCGGCCATCCAACGTTATCGAAGGGCCTCATTCGATATTATCATAACAGTTAACATCGGGTAATATAATAAAATTAAAATCATATAAAATTTAGTTTGAGATACTTTACATACTTAAAATATGAAAGTTGCCACTGACAACTACACATTACATTTCAACATCATGACTTCAGTCTTTGTTATATTTTTCCGCCTTAAGTTGTATCACTTAATTTTTCACACCAGGTACTAGTCAGCATCTCTGCAAACACGGCTGCCTAGCTAATTAGTGAAATACCTGTTAAAACAAAACATTAAAAAAATGCCACCGCTTGCCCACTATGACTACGGTCTCAACAGATCTGGATTTTATTAGACTCAGCCACCGCTTGCCCGCACAAGGAGCTACGGCCTCAAACTGGTCAAATTCTCATTAGACTCAGCCACCGCTTGCCCACACAAGGAGCTACGGCCTCAAACTGGTCAGATTCTCATTAGACTCAGCCACTGCTTGCCGCCACAAGGAACTACGGCCTCCAACTGAAACACATCAAATATTTAACAACTGGTCATTTTCTCAATGAGGCATTCACCGCTTGCGCACGCAAGGAGTTACGGCCTCCAACTAGTCATATTCTTTATGGTACTATGCTATTTTTACTTCAGCCTCAAGTGCTCTACATTGCAACTCAACTATGGGTTATATGCACTCCCATCAAAATTTACTATTACTTTTTATTCTATTACATATCTTTAAGAACTGGATTTCCTGGTTCCATTTTACTAT